AGTTCCGAAAGCAGAGCCAGAGCCGAGAGTACACTCGAGGCTTGTTCGTTTCGCGTACCGCGTCGCCGTGCACCCTTTGCGCTCTGCTCTCTTGTCGACCGTGCGTTCCGTTCGTCGTCGCGTCCGTTTTTTGTTTTCCCTTCGATTTGTGCCCACGTCAGCGGACCCGTTGCTGTGCGTCGACTGGATCTCGCTGTGGGATCGAGCGGCGATCCACAGTAGATCGCTGTCATCGCGGAGGCGGTTGTCACTGGTACGTCGCCGGACGTGTTTTTCGTGTACGTTTCGCTCGGGGATCAAGTTAGGGACACTATCGCGAGGTTCGGGATATAGGGGATGGGAAACGAGGACGAGTGGCACGATGCTTCTGAAAGGAATCAGAAGGGCGAGAAGGGTCGCGAATGTGACGTCTGGGAAGAAGGACGGCTGCAAAAGAGTGAGAAAACGGGCAGCTGAAGCCGCTCGCGCGAACATCTTTTTCAGCCGACGAAGCTCGCCCTTCGTCTACCACTTATTATCCTCTCGCCGTTTTTCGGGGATTCCTCGCGCTAGCCGGTGACAACGCGAGCTCGTCGATCAACAACCCGGCGAGCACGTGTGTGTTTGTGTGGGCGTGTACACGAGAGTGCGTGGCCGCGATGATATTCGAGAGAACTCGAACCCGTCAACGTCTCGCTGGGGCCCTTTCGCGGTTCGCGCTTTTATTCGGAGCACGCGAGTAGGCTGGCCGCGAAGCTACTATCGCGGACAGGTTTCTGGCGTTTAAACGGAGTCTAATCGTCGCGTTCCTTCGTCACCGAGCGGACCCGTTTCACATTCAATATCTCCGACGTCGCGCCACGTGTCTCCTTGGTTTCATGCTCGTTGTTCTTGCGGTCTGATTGCGTTTCAGCGTCGTCTCGATCGACTGACAACGCGGGACTGGTGAGTCGTTAGCTGGCGGGAGGAGCGAGGGAAAAGGAGAACGCGCCGCATTTTCACCGTGTTTCTCTCTGAATCAACCACCGGCCGCGAAGTTGCAAAACGAACGTCTGTCGTTGACACGGGGAACGACGGTTTCCCGGGCGGCAGCTTTTTTTAAACGGGAGTTAATGGACCCGTTCTCCCGCAGAAACCGAACAATCTGAGCGTAGAAACGGTGCACCGGGTGCACACGTACCTGCTGCACGCGACGCGCACACCAACGGGGAGAGACCGTTCAAGACAAAGCGGTCGCTCGATGCATATGCACAAGGGATTTTCCGTAGCCGGCTCGCCGACCCGCTGATTAGAGGTGGGAATAAACCGATACGAAGATATATGGCTTCCGCGAACGCGCATCCCGATCTACTTTTCCTTTAACCATTCGCGCGCATTGTTGTTGGCGCATATCTCGCGACAGTCCGCGCGAACGTTTTTCTCTCGCGCGTCGAACCACGCTGTTGCAATCATTCTTTCGCGTCCCGACCGACTAATCGTGGCGATTTATGAACTCCGTTCCGTCCCGCGAACACAATTCGCGTTGCTGCTCGTTACACCGCGAAAAGGCGAGCATGTAACGAAGTCCCGCGTCGTTGCCTCGTATTTTACCCCGGATTCACGGACGAACTTTCATTTCGTCGGGTGCCATTGACACTCGCCGACGACTCGCCGGGGCATTTTTAATTAACAGCCGTCCTTGGGACGTGCCGAAACTGTGTGTAACAACCGGAGCAGCCCGGTCCGCCCGAGATCCTCGGTCACGATCAATTTAAAAGGCCATACGTTTCCGCGAAACACGCGGATGATTTATGCCGTGCCCTAAATACGTGATTTGTTCGTGATGGTTGTTCGGCCGGCGACGAACCGTGGGGATTCCACTGGAAAATGACGACGAGAGGCCGATACCGTTTCCCACTTCAATTACGCGTAAATCATCCCTCCTCCTGCCGAAGGCAAACGTTAAACGACTCACGGTCCATTAGGCTCGCCGCGATTGAATATTATTTCCGGCTACGTGCAGCGACAATACGTCGATCTTCGCCGCGATCTTTCCATTTTCCTTTTTGTAAATTAAGAGAACAAACGCTTCTGCAGTTATAAGTCTTCGTAAAGACGCATAATGGAATCTTGAAATTACACAGCTTCGTAGTTTCTACGTCCCTTTTTCCAGCGAGTTAATCTTCTCGAATTTCAGCTCAACGTTGATGAACTTCATTTTCATTAACCCGGGATCTTTTCGATTCCCGTCATGTCAACCACGAGAATAAACATCTTTCCATTGACAAGCTTCACAAATGCACACGAATGCCAAAATACCATGATTTCACAGTACCCACAGGCTTCATCCAAAAATGTCCTCACAAAATTCAGCGCTAGACCCTCAGTTACTCGCGAATCTAGGTATCCAGCGGTCCAGCAGCGATACCGCTCGTATTTAAATCCCGTCAACTACACGCTGTTCAGCGATGAGATAGGACGAGTCCGCTCGGTTCGGCGAAGACCCAACGTCGTCCCCGAAACCCCGATAATTGGCTGGAGGCAGCACGTATTCAGCGGAATTGCATCGGGAAGCTGGCAAGGAGGCTCGCGCGCACAAAGAAAACCGAGTCCGATCAGATCCGCTTTTCCATTGGGCGGGACCGGCTCGTATGGGATTCTAATCACCGGGAAAGGGGAAGGGTTTTAGAGGCGATCGTGGGTCAGGCAGCGGGCGGGCGGGTGGCTGAAGTTTGACGACCCTTTAACGAGGAGCTGCCGGATCGTGAATCGGTGTAAAGTATCTTACCGGGATTTACAGAATGGCGGTGCAATGAACGCGCGGAGCCGATGGCGAGGGTGAATCGGCCAGGTTCGAGGGCGAGCGCGGCGATGATGAATCTTCGATGAATAGGGGATCCGGCGGGCCAGCGACGAGTCGCGCGGAAGTTGGAATCGATCCCAACGGCGGCGGGATACAAGGGACCGCGGGAGGAGTTACGATGCACGTGAAAAGTTGACGAAGCCATGTGACGCGACCGAAACCCCGGGACAACCCCGTGCGACGCCTACCGCCTGATGCTGGATACCGGACGACGTGGTCGGCATTTCGAGTGGACCCACCGCCGCGGATCGCAGCCGGCCCAAGTATCGCCGAGTGACAGTGCGGAAGGAAGATAAAGGGAGAATAGTTTCGCGATCGGGAAGGGGAGACGACTGTGATCGTGACCGGGCCGGTGACACACGGCCGAGGATTACTGTGTAAAATTGTAGCAAATCAAGTAGTGATGCCGTGATGGGCTGCAGCTCGGGTACGTGCTATCTGGCTACGCTCCTCGTGGCTGGATTACTCTTGGTCGTCCTGCACTGCGAGACATCACTGGCGACACGTGAGTACACCGTGCGAAATGATAATTAATATTGATAGTGGCGATAGGCTGCTTGAAGCGATTACGGGGATTAGGAATCGGAAGCGCTCTGCATCGAAAATATGGGGATTGCAATGTTCTGCGGATCGAATAGGCGGGGAGAATATGAATTTGATTTGGGGAACCTGTTAGTATTTGTTTGATTGTGTTAAGTAGGGATTTAATTGAGTATCGTGTGAGTTACGTTTGGTTGTTTGATGATGTACTAACTTGAGAACGATACGCGGTGAATTAAACGATGCATGTTTGTGCTCTATATTATAAAGTATAAAATCTACGTTTGAGAACGTTATTTTAAATCGAGTGGTTGATGAGTGATTACGTATAGATTCTTGGTTCAATTTATATAATAATCTTCGTATTGACGTTAGAGGAGGACTATAATACGTTTCACATTAAAATCAGAGGTTATTGAAGAGTTTTCTATCAACACCATAAAGAAGCAATTCTGTCATTTAAGAATCGATATAGACGAATGTTTTCGTAGCAAGAATACATTTGTAATAGATCTTCCGCGACAGAGTTGGCTATTGTTCCACTGTGGGCCGGCTTGTTCCATCTTCTTGCGTATTTTTACTGACAACATCGCTTATTGTTATAAAAACTGTGCGTACAGCTGTCTTGCTTTCAGTCTAAATATTATCCCGCGACACCGGAAACACGTGAGACACACTATTTTCTTAGCAAGCTACCTTGTCGAAATTTAAATTCCTTTCCAATCGGAACAGTCGATTATCCGGACGGAATTTCGCGGGATCATAGCGGGACGAGACGCAGTCGCATGATAATTGCCGGCGCTTAGCGCCTGTGGAAATGGCGGAAATTCCGTCGTACTTGTCTAACCGAGTGACTTTCCCCCTCGACCGTTCGCCAGAATGTGTTTAATTGCTTCCAGAATACCGGTTGATTCCTTTTGTCGATCCCGGCGCGTTCCATCGCGGTAAAAACTTGCCGCATTTCTTGTATCGCGGTTAAGTGTGCATTGTGTCCTCAGCCTTTGAGCGTCAAAATGCGAGAAGCGTTTTCAGTACTCTTCACTGCAGTGTTTTTAATACTTATGTATATGTAGAACAACGTTTTATAAAGATTTGTTTTGTGTTTAACAGAATGTAAAGGATACGTATCTCTTGAACAGTTGAGTACAAAGCGTTTTCATTTAATACTTGGAAAGGTATTTTTGAACGATCAAATAACTGCAAATGTTCGTGTTTCGATAATATGTAGAAAGATGTAAAAGGCAAAGAAAATATTATATAAATATAAATAAATTATAAAAATTAGATTTTTGTTCCCTTTTTAAAGTGTCGTAAAATTTAATAATCATTGCAAAAGTTATCAACTATAATACGGAAATAATATTTGGTATACCTATTGTAATTTTAAACCTTATGACTATCATTGCGCTCGCGACTGCTTTATAGTTTAATGCGTGTTAATATAATCAATTGATAATCTATTTTATCTTGTGAAAGTAAATTGATACACACTCACAAATTCGATAAAATTCACTACCTATGAAAGTTACTAAATATCGACAATTTACTTTGAACTTTCGACCATTACCTTACTAACAAGTACAATTATATGAATACATAAAAACTGAATAAAGTGTCAGAATCAATTAGTTCATTTGTCACTCAAAGTCGACCGTACTTTGTACTTTACTAATACCAAAGTCTTTATTACAATAGCGCTTGCAATAAACTTCATAAACTATTGAAACTTGAAGTTCTAATTTCAATTACTAAAAGAAATATCACGTTCTAAGAACCGAAATCAACATTGCTGTATAAATTTCCATTACCTCAAACAAAATATACAAAAAAAACACAACACAGAAAAAATATCTAATTCCAATTCTCATTTAGGAAACTAACATCTCCAATGATTCTTCAACAATCCCACTCGTCCCCTTAATCCAATCTTCAAAAATATCAATCTTCAAAAACATCATTAAATCACAACACAAAATCTCAAAAATTTAAAATCCTTAAAACTCGAAATTTTCTAGCTTACCAGATTTCGACCTTTCGAGTGAAACCACCCCTATTTCCACTCGCCGTGCATTTCGCTAGAATCTCTCGGACGGAGATTAACGCGGATCGTCGAGCTGGAGGCGTGCGTCGCGTCGAGCAGTTTGAACTTCGGAAAATAGGCCAGCGAAGAAAGTGTATGCACAGTGGCGCGCGCCACGAACGGACGAAGACGGGGTGGTCCGCACCGCGGTGGAATAAGATAGCGCGGGAAAGAGACGAGCGTAACGAGGCACAAGGAAACGAAACGTGATGAAATGGCCTGTTTAGCCGGGATATACGCGACGCATCGTGAAAAGGCAGGAACGATACAACGGAATATAAACCCCTTGCCCACCCCCCGTTGGCTCGTCGTATCCAGCATGTGCTGCCGGCGCGGACTAGTCGTTGCTGGTGGTGAGAGAGGGTGAGCGAGGGTGGCAAAGAGGGCGTGAACGGTGCGGTGGTTTGGCTCAAAGGACGTTGAAGCCAGAATGGGACACGGACGTTGTCACGATGGGTGTGAGATGGCTGATATTCCCTTGTTTTTCCTTCCTCATTCTCTACCCACCCCACCCTATCTTTTTTTCTTTTCTTTTATTAAGGAGGACTTCCTTTCTATCTTTCCTCCGGCCTTCCTTCTCGCGTTCCTTTTTTTCCCTCGTCTTTTCGTCCGCTCTTTTCTTGTAGACGGTAATGTTCGCTCGTCGCGCTTGTCCTCGTTCATTTCGTCGTCGGACAGCCGGAGTACAACGCGGCCAGGATAGCATTATAATTATTTCCACGGGTGCTCCGTCTTCGCGAAATGTCGCCCGATTGCGCCGGGCGTTGGGGAGAATGTTCGGACCGAAGGAACGTGAGATGAAGTAGATGAAATCGGGAATCGACATTTGTAATTTTGTGGATTCTATTTGTTGTTACTTTTGATTTTTTTGGGGGATATGTAGATTGTATGAGATTTTGTCGAGTTCTGTGTGAAATGTGTTCTAGAGTATATGAGATTGATACTTGTTATTTTGATTAATTTTATTGTAGACAAGTTGGTTAATATAGGAAAATGTTTATATATAAAACTTTCAAAGTTTGTATGCGTGTACTATTTCACAAGAGAGTTCCATCGGACTCACGTGGCTACAATTATTAGTCAAACGCCGAATTTGAGCTTGAAACTTACGAAAAAGTTGTTATGTCAAAGAATTCGGTCGATGTTCCGGTAATTGTCGTCAAGAAAAACTAGCCAAGAATTAAATGAAAATTTATCACGCGATGTTTGCATCCACGAACCTTGCAATTCACCGTCGCAATTCTTTGGCGTGATTCAGCATTCACCGGCATTCAATGCGATATGCGGTAGCTTCCATTGTAACCGTCTAGGAAGATAATTAATTCTGTCTTACATACGCAACGGGACGGATCGTTCGATTCCGGCAAACCGGAATAGAAAATGGTCGTTGGCTTTAACATCTATTTTTCGGGTAACGTTCGCCGAGCATTTTGCAGTCGAGTCGAGGAACTGGCGCGCGCGCATTCAAAGTGGACGACCCTCTCAGTTCTCCGCTGCGACGAGTCTTTACGGGTCTCCGGCTTAATCTCATCTTTTTGGAGGAAATAAGCCTTTGACGGTCGGCCGGCGTGTTTCTCCTTTATGATTTATTTTCCGGTTCCTTTTTTTCCGCGTTGGGAGAGTTTCCCTGTTTGCCGGGCCGGACGGCCTCGTTACAAAAAAGAGATGAACGTAACCGCGTTAAGTTACTCAGCCTCGCGAGTGCATTGTCGACGTGCGGGACTTGTCGTTCAGCGGACACGCGTAATGAAGTTGCGGGCGATATTTAGAAAGTAATGTAATTCCCATGCATTCACGTCGGAGTGAAGTATTTTATTAATTTCACTGGGATGATAACGAGAGAAAGAAAGAAAGACAGAAAGAAAGTAAGACAGAAAGAAAGAAAGAAAGAAAGACAGAAAGAAAGAAAGAAAGAAAGAAAGAAGGAAAAAAAGAAAGAAGGAAAAGAAGAAAAATCTACGTTTCTTCGCAAACTCTTTTTCCAAAGAGTTTCGCAGCAAGGCTTCACAGAAGTGGTAGCAAAGCAACGTCTGACAATTAAATCTCCTGTCGTCATTGATATTGCCTTCTTCCGCTCGCGAACATTCAGCATGACACAGAGTGTCTAATTTTCGTGCGCGTTCGCGCTTTTCCGGCCAGGTACATTTTGTTCCGCCCCTCGTTTCGTGTTCGGCTCGCGACGCTTTTAAGAAGAGACTCGGTTAAACGATGTCGGGCAGCCATTTCCGCGGAAAGGAACGACCGCGCTTCGTGTAATTCCTCGACTGTGTCCCGTATTATTATTACCGAACGTAGGGACCGCTCCTTGCTGCCTGAAAAATTCTCCTGGACAGTTTCTTGTCACATTAGTCCTTTGCATTCGTTGCTGAGCAAAACGCGTATATATCTTGTCCCGGCAACTTTTCCTCGCTGAATTTCTTTGTCCTTCTTCGGAAGCGTAATAACGATTCCTATTTGCTGGCCAGGATCTTGTTTGTCCTCCTTGATTCTTTTTACTTTCCACTTTACTCCCTCGCTCCGACTGTTTCTCCGTTTCTCTCCACCCCGCAGGAATATCCTGGCGAACGTTGAATGGTTTTCTGAAGCATTCTCCAGTGTCCACGACCGTCCGACTTGTCGGCTTAGTTTCGATCATCAGCTGTTCCCGCACAACAGATGCTCCAATAAAACTTGCCGAGCTCGTACCTTAGTAGGTTGTTACCTGAACGCACCTGAGATCTGTGTTTCTTTCGGTTTGAAAGTTGTCCACTTAGCAGTGGAACGCTTATATTGAACAATGGATATGTTCATGACTATTGCTCATTTAATTAACAGGAACGTTCAGTTCTGCACGCGTTCGATTCTCATGAACTATGTTTCTAATTAATTACGTTTATAATGAAACA